AGTGGGAAATCTTGATGGAGTTCCGGGGTGAGACACTATCGGTCTCGTCTCGAGGAAATGGAATATTAACGTTTCAGGCATTATTTTGATTCAATTAAAATCTACGCTTCCTGTCGCAGGAGCTCATTTCATTTTCCTTCGAAGGGAGGGCCTGAGCTTATATTTTTGGACATTGAACACAAATCCTTGAGTTTGAATCCATTCAAGGTTGTGGCGCCGTTTAAGTATCACGTAAGCTAAAAAGGGGGAGGGGTTCTCAGTTTATTCTATCGAGGAATTTTATTAATAATTTTCATTAGTACATTTTTTTAAATTTTAAATATTTAACTTATTTAAATGGCATTTTAAATTTTAATTTTTGATTTGGTAAAATATTTAATTCTGTAACAAACAAAATTAAGTAACCCTAAGTTTAATTGCAACTGCTGGCACTTAAGTAACTGGTAATATTAGTTTGTTGTTACTATCGGATGAGGAGGAGATGGTAGAGAGCAGGGTGACCATGCCCAGTTTTAAGCAAGCCTCCTCCTTTAATTTTTTTTATTTCCATGAAACGATACTTTTTCCAGCTATTTTTTAGGCTTTCTAAAGTATTTTCTGAAAACGTCCTAAGAGCACCTTTAAGGTCATCAAAATTTTGGTGTGTATAATTGAAAGTACACGAAAATTTTTGCGGAAGTCCTTGAAAACCTCCTGAAACTCTTGGATATTACTGTTCAAAACTCATCGGAAAGTTCACGAGAGTCCTTGACTTGGGTTTAGAAAAGCTGTCATGAACCCTAGAGTCCTCCAGTCTGGTCGTTGGAGAGCATTAGTCATGAGTAACTGCTACGACTTGCGGCGCAAGTGGAAGAAGCATTGACCTACTGATGTTGATATAGTAATGGGATGTGTGATGTTTAGTCACCGAGTCGCCTCCTCACACCTCACCTCGGCCACTCACCGTCGCCACACGCCGCACCTGCTCTCGCTTAATAAACGCCTCACCCTCTTGCGCGCGTATTGCGACTCAACGCGTCGCGGCGCCCAGTGGACCGAGTCCATAGGAGAAGTCTGACAATATCTGAAAACTTATAGAAAGTTATTATTTTCGAAATTATGAAATTGAGAAGTTTCAGAATTGTTCCATTGGTTTTTCCGTACAATTTACCTTCAGAAACACTCTTTAAAATTGTATTTGTGACGAAATAAATATCAAAATTTGAAATTTTAGCCAAAAATGTCAAGTTGAACCTCCTCTATTTGCTCGTTCCACTCTGCGGCGTACAATGAAACTAGTCAATGAGATAGGTCGGACATTACGTGGAAACTCGGAAAGCTTTATTTTCATTAATATGTCGCAAGCAGCCAACAATCACCTTCAACGGGCCAGTTTGCGCTGGTCTCATGGTTTTGATGCTTGATTCTTGTAAATCGGGTAGAAACAATAAGATTTGTCTAACCAGCAACTCTCTACGTTCAATATTAACCGGAATGAAGCCGTTCTAAAAATTCTGTTTATGACGTCATCCACCGCGGGAGTAATACCCTTGGTTTCTTCCGCCTTGGTTAAATCAGTTAGAAAATACACATGAACACTGCTTCAGTATTAACCGAGATATCGCGCTTTGAAAAATTCGGTTTATGACGTCATTCACCGCGGTAGTGACACTCTTGGTTTCATCAGTCAGGGAGACACACATTTACACTGGTTACTCAAAGCAAAACTTGGATGAAAGCAAGAGGGAGGAAACCAAGGGTGTCCATATGACGGTGGATGACGTCATTAAACGAATTTTTCACAGCGCGATATCTCGGTTAATATTAAACGCAGAAAGTTGATGTTTGAACAGATCTTATTATTTTTAGCTTATCTACGAGAAGCAAACATCAAAACACGAGTCCGTGACCAGTGCAACCGACCCATTTGCAAGCGGCATGCAGTTAACTGCAGAACTGAGTGCAAAAATAAGGTAATATCAAGTCGAATTAACTCCGTAAAATATTCTTAACATATCCTCATGATAATACTATATTATCTTGTGTGCCGCAATGTGTTACTATGTTTGTTAATACACGATACTGATAATGCATGACGTCATCAACTACTGTAACGCATACGCTGGGTGTATTAACCTTAATTACTGCGTTAATGCGTGATTCATAGAAGTTTCATTGTTATTCCGGACAGACGCGGAAAACAACAGGTAGCCGCTTTAAAGCCCTTGCTTACAAAATCTCACTGCAAGACGTTTTCGCGGCCGATGCAGGCGTGTTTTCAAGTGAAAAGAGCAATATGAAGGAAATAAAATAAAAAAGAAATAAATCGGATTACGCGGTCAACGTAATAGGAAAAAATAAATGAAAAAAAGAAAAAAAAACCAATAACGAAAGAAAGGCGAAATCCGCCCTTTACGAAGAATGGAAAAATAATCCTGATCGAGTTTTTCCCTTTATACTCTTTTGCGATTGAAAATCCTGGAGCGGCATGCGCCGGGAAACGCCTCACGGTCAATTTTTTAAACAAGAGCTTTATCCCCGCCATTATTGCTCTTCACTGACAACGAGAAGAAATTTGCTCTCGTAATCAAAATTCTAAACGTATTTCAGAGCCAGACTATTCTGTTTGAATATCTAATATTGGTTTGAATGGAGATGTTGCATGTGTGAGGAATTTGCGATTTGACTGTTGATTTTACGTAGAAGTTCGCGAGAAACACGATGGTGCCACTGGTTTTCTCTGAAATCAACTCCCAAGCTCACAAAAAGCTCTCAAGTTGAGGCCGAAATGGAGGGGATATCCCACGCTATCCTGAGAGTCCACCTCTACATCAAGACAAACTCTCCATGCAAAGATAGGGAGCAAATACATTGACAGGTGCCACTTTATTTGGGGACTCTAAAACTGAAAACACGGCAACCCTGCTAATGTCTTTGCTCCCTATCTTTGCATTAAGAGTTTGTCTTGATGTAGAGGTGGACTCTCAGGATAACGTGGGATATCCCTTCCATTTTGGCCTCAACTTGAGAGCTTTTTTTGAGCTTTGGAGTTGAAATCAGAGAAAACCAGTGGCACCATCGTCTTACTCGCGAACTTTTACATGAGAATCAATAGTCTAATCACTAATTCCTCACACATGCAACATCTCCATTCGAATCATTGCGGGCAATAAAAGTTGAATCCGTCTGCCCGCGCGCACTTTACACAGCGCCTTCCACGTCGTAGGGATACTTCAAACGCTACACCGATTTACATACGTTCCGGTGTGCGAACGGCCCTGCTGAACGTAACTGCGAACGTTTACGTAAGGATCAACAGTCAAATCGCCAATTCCTCACACATGCAACATCTCCATTGCACTGAAAAAAAGAAAAGTTACGAGCCATATAGACATACCGTCCGTACCGGGCTCAGAGGCCAAAAGTTCCGGGTGCTAAAGCAGTTACTTCGACTGCTCCGGGTGCCGCGCCCGGAACTTTCAGCCTCTGAGCCCAAAACGCGGACGGTATGTTTATATAGCCCGTAAGTACGGCCTTCACGCCCGGAGGTTTTTTTTTTTTTTTTTTTTTTAGTGTAATATTAATATTGATGAACCACAATTCTGGTTGATTCAACCTACTGTGTTGAGTTAAACATTCGTTGCATTTAGAAAACGACTTGCCTTGGGAAATGTTGCTATTGGAACATCGAGAATCTCCTTGTCGCAACGAAATTTTCTTGTTACACTAAAATTTGTTGAACTGTGACCAACTAAAAAATTTTGTTGTGACAAGGCCACTTTGCATTGTCTCAACTAGTACATTCCATCAGAAGTCGTTTATTCCTTGGCATAATAAATTTCATACAAGCCTGACACGGGCACACCAGCATGAAAAAGTATAGTTATAATTATACCCTTGAATATAAAATCTTTCATCAGTAGCTTTACGCATACAGCGTGATTTTTGGGCTGCAATCTTATAATTAAAATTTTAGGCACTTATTTTTGTTGCTTTTTGTTCCCTGTGTGTGGGTTTATTTATACCCAAAATAACAGAGTGTCCTCCGTCAATCAAAACTGGAAAACCGGAAAATATAAGAAAATTCGATGTCATCAAGAAAAATCAGGAAAATATTGGTCATGGATCAGGAAATTCTAAGCGCTTTAAGCATTTTTTAAACATTTGAGTAAATTCATAGATCACTTGGATGTGTCAAATCATTTAAGAATCAATGCATGAACGCAAAAAGTCGGGAAATTTCAGATTGAATATCAGGAAAATTCAAAATAAAACTTTTGTAGACACCGTGAATATTAACATTCACTATCAAATCAAATACAGTTAACTGAGCTATTGTTGAGTATCCGATATGGTCTCTACCTAGACCTATTTATTTCCAGAGCACTCCAATCTCGCCTCGATGTGGTCAAGATCGGTGTGGCAATTTCGCCTTACGCTTGTAGTTCTGCACGCCAATCCATTCCGTATCACGTACTGGTGACAGTTGGAATATTACTCAACACTTTGAGCGCCTATCATTACGAATTAGGCGGGATAGGGTTCAGTCTGACGTTCTCTTGAATACATCCAACTTCATGTCAGTGTCGGCTGCGTCAGCAACAGGAGGTCATTCTGGTATTAATAAAAATACAAAAGATATACACCCTAATAATAATTATAACATGGAGCTATAAAATATCAAGATAATATGACAAAATACAACAAACTTGCTTCTCCGTGTACCATTTGGTAAAATTGCTCCGGGAAAGTATCGAGGAAACACGGAGGTGCTTGATTCTTTTGAAAGGATTCCAGAAGACTTCCTTCAGGGAACCGCGTGGAAAAGTTCGGGAACTACTCATAAAAGTACTCGTAGCAATAGTGCTTTAATTCAGACCTCGTCTATCTCGGCGGAAGAGACGAGCCGTCAAGCGTTACCCGCTCAATTTTCACGACGTTCGTGACTGACGCATGCCTCTGGAGCAACTTTCAATTCGTTCAACCAATTTATATAATGTTTTTGTTATTGTGTGTTGCAGATGCAGTTGAGACCTACCATGACACCACATCTCGCTCCTCGTCCCCGTTATCCAATATGAGGTACCGTCATCTCACTCATTCCTCCTGTTTTTATTTTTTTATTCGCGAAGCCGAAATATTCTACAAGCTCCGCTTTGCTTCCTTTTTCCGAATGTGAAAGTTATTTTTGGAGATCGGAATTGGTTTTCGGCTGATGAGCATTGATTATCGCGCGATCTCAGTAACTCGAGAGCCTTGTGAACAGTCGTAAACAGGGTTGCCACAGTCAAGGAATGCCGGGGAAATGACAGGGAAAAAATTCAGGGAAAACCTGGAAATGTCAGGGAAAACCTGGAAATGTCAAGGAAAATGACGGAAGTGTCAGGGAAAAGTTGTTAAGTCACCTTTAATCGCTGTCTGTAATAAGTTTGCCGTTTCGAACAACAAACGCCTGAAAACCCTTTCAAATTACGTCTTTTTAACCATCAGGCACAATTTCAATCGTCAAGGAATTTTACCAAAATTTGTCGGAGAAATGTCAGGGAAATTCATTTTTTTTAATTCTGTGGCAACCCTGCTTATAGTCTTTCGGGAATCCGCTCCATTCCTTAGGAAGCTTCGTGCTGTTTATTGTAATCAAGAAAAGTTTAGGGAAATCCTCGCGGTAAAAAAAGAACACGGGATTGTTGGGAGATGTGGAAATTTTCAATTAATTGTGGTAGTGCCCCAATAAATTAGATCACTAACTCAAATGTTGCAGCACTACCACAATTACTTGGAAATGTCCATATCATCCATAAAAATGGGAGGGGAGGGGGGTAGTACCACGATTTTCGGGAATAAACCCCAACACTTTTTTTCTGTGCTGAACATGATATCATGTAAAGGAAAATTTTTCCGAATTCATACAAAAAACGCCCACTTTGCTTTTTTGTCGGCTGTAAACCACCAAATATTCTTGTATCTCCACTAACAATAAGTTTACCATATCATAGCTTACGCGCCAGTATGATCACTCAACATGTCATTCAACAGTCGAAAGTCGACAAAAAAGCATTTCCAAGGATGAAATGTGAGATACGCAATTTTGGAAGGATTTTTCACCTGCCGTTAAAAAGCCACCGATTTTCACCTTTTACTTTCTTCACTTTGGCAAGTTATTCTTAACAGCAAAGCAAGTCGACGGTGAAAGTCGGCAATCACATAACTCGTTTGCGGTGTCTGAAAATCTCCGCCTCTACGTCATTTTTTTAAAGGAGAACAAATTGATATTATTTCTTGAAGTTTTTGCAGAATTTTCTTCGCATTGAGAAGAAAAATCACGACAGTTTTAAAGAATTGCCGTTGAGTAGTTTTCCATTTAAAAAATAAAAAATGACAGGAAGTCTGCGACGTCGCAAACCGAGTTATGTGATTGCCGACTTTCACCGTCGAAGTTCTTTTCTGCAAGGCTTCCTTCAGTGTGAAAACCAGGGATGCAGGAAGTTCTTCAGTGTACGCTTTTAACAGTAAACCATAAACCCCTATGCTTTTACACAACGGTTGTCGGTTGCGGTTGTAACGTAGCGCGGAATTATATATTTTCCAAAATGAAGAGGCGCGGTCTAAGTAAGATCACCAAAAAATTAGTGGAGTTGCTGCACTTTGGACAAAAATCAGTGTGCAAGTAGTAATTTATACATTCTTATCAAAATCAAAGCTCTTGCAGAGTTTTCAGCAGAAGGATGCACCTCTAATAATTTTATTTCGCTGACACCGCTAATTCAAATCATCGCGGGCAATAACCGTTGAGCCCGCCCGCGCGCAGCATCTCAGCGCCTTCGACATTGTCGAGATACTTCCAACGCTACACCGTTATACTTGGGTTCCGATTTACGAATGGGCCTGTTGCAAACGTCAGCTAGAACAAGACTAAGAGTTATATCTTACAGGAAGTGGCTCAAGAATCACGATGAACCCACCGAGAAAGTCTGGAATACATTCCTAACTTCATAATCTGCGCAAGATACATACATTTTTTTTTNTTTTTTTTTTTTTTTTTTTTTTTTTTTTTTTTTTTTTTTTTTTTGCTTCTAGCCTCAAAAAGGATATATCCTTTAAATACGACTCTTCTGACGATATGTTCACCTGTGTTCGGCACAGGTGAACATTTCGTAAGAAGCGTCATTCCATCCAACCCTTGCGCTTTAGAATGCTATACACAGTATTTAACATGGCTGACGCTTCCGCGCACAAATCTTGAGAAAACACCGTGTGGTCTTTATGAACGCAAGGGAAGTGTACAAATAAACACGCCTGTTGATAAAATCCCGTCCCGTCCCGTCCTTGTTCGTCACGTGTGTTGTAGCCGGTTGGCGTTGGACGAGTTGAGTATTGCGCAGCATCCTAGTGGGCAATGGTTGGATGGAGTGACTCCTCTTGTAAAAATTTCACCTGCGCCGTTGCCGCAGTATCATTCTGAAGCGGGAACCTTAAAAAAACGCATATTTCTCACGCAGACTTTGAAGTTAGGAGAGTATTTCAGACTGTCTCGATGCGTTCATTATGATTTTTGAGCCGTTTTCTGTGAGAAATGACTGTTTCCTTTTGCTCCCAAGTGGCATGCGTGTTAACTCGTCAAATGACAATAATTCGCATCGACGTAGAAGAGGTTTTACGGGGAAAGAACATCATAAACACGTCTGCGGCTTGGAGCGCCTTCAAATGCTGGCGATACTTCCTGCTTTGCTGGGAAGTTAGTTTAGTTGCGTGACCCAACCAAACCCAACCGGTCATTGATTTTGCACGCTTTCGTAAGTGTGGAACCGATATCATTTTTGAAGCGGGAAGGATAATAAAACGCATATTTCTTACGTAGATTTTGAAGTTAAGAGAGTATTTCAGACTTTCTCGATGCGTTCTTTGTGATTTTTGAGCCGTTTTCTGCGAGAAATGACTGTTTCTTTTTGCTCCTAAGTGGCATGCGTGCTAACTCGTCAAATGACAATAATTCGCATCGACGCAGAAGAGGTTTTACGGGGTAAGAACTTCAGAAGCACGTCCGCGGCTTGGAGCGCCTTCAAATGCTGGCGATACTCTCTGCTTTGCTGGGAAGTTAGTTTAGTTGCGTGACCCAACCAAACCCAACCGGTCATTGATTTCGCACGCTTTCGTAAGTGTAGAACCGATTCTTTGCTGTCGGAAGTGTACAGCGTCCACTCGCGATACACAAATCGAGCGATCGAGTGCATTACGCACTCCTGGTGGAAATTATTTTAAGGGTCAACCCTGGTTTATAAATGATGATAATGATCCGCCACATTTCGATTAAACTAATCCTTCGATAGACTCATTTAGTGGCTACGTCATTGGATATAATGTCGAACCCTTGGTTCAAGTTTAAACAAACACAGGACCTTGACATAATTCGCGACCTTTGCGCCATGGTGGTAAAATGCGTCCAAGCGTTTTTTACAATCGAAATTTCTCGTGTTTGATGAGCCTTAATTGATTTATGACTGGTCGATGACTAAATTTTAATCAACAACACAATTAACTGAGGTTATATTAGTTTATTTGGTTTGAATCAAGAGTTTGATATCATATCGAATTAACTAGTCGATAATGGAGATGTTGTTTGTGTGAAGAATTTGCGATTTGACTGTTGTTTCTTATGTAAAAGTTCGCGAGTAACACGATGGTGCCACTGGTTTTCTCTGAAATCAATTTCCAAGCTCAAAAAAAGCTCTCAAGTTGAGGCCAAAATGGAGGGGATATCCCACGCTATCCTGAGAGTCCACCTCTACATCAAAACGAACTCTCCATGCAAAGATAGGCAGTAAATACATTGACAGGGCTGCCACTTTATTTGGGGACTCCAAAACTGAAAACACGGCAACCCTGCTAATGTACTTGCTCCCTATCTTTGCATGGAGAGTTTGTCTTGATGTAGAGGTGGACTCTCAGGATAGCGTGGGATATTCACTCCATTTTGGCGTCGACTTGAGAGCCTTTTTTGAGCTTGGAGTTGATTTTAAAGAAAACCAGTGGTATCATCGTGTTTCTCGCGATCTTTTACGTAAGAATCAACAGCCAAATCGCAAATCCCTCACACATGCAACATCTCCATTCAGTGTATTCGTTTTTCATGCAAGGAGTAAAGTGATTGACTATTGGTGTTTGTGTTGTTGTAGTGAGAATGAGAAAGGACGGAGGATGACGGTGACAGAGGGAGAGCGGAATAAGTGCGCGGATGCGGGGAGACAGCAGCGAATGGCCCGCTACAAGGAGGAGCGGAGGCGACAGTTGGCCAACCAGTTCGGCCGAAGGGACAGCGAGGATTTCTCCTCCAGCAGCGGCACCGGCGGTGGACTCACCTTCAAAAACACCAAATCCTCCATTCTCAGGGTCGCTGCCAACGGTTAGTATCTGAATCCCATCCAATAATTCGTATCGACATGGAAGAGGTTGTATCGGTAAAGAACTTCAAGAGCACGTTCTCGGCATTGAGCGCCTTCAAATACCGGCGATACCCTCTGCTTTGCCTTGAAGTTAGTTTAGTTGCGTGACCTAACCTAGCCCGAGCGCCTTCAAATATCGGCGATACCCTCTGCTTTGCCGGGAAGTTAGTTTAGTTGCGTGACCTAACCTAGCCCGAGCGCCTTCAAATACCGGCGATACCCTCTGCTTTGCCGGGAAGTTAGTTTAGTTGCGTGCCCTAACCTAGCCCGAGCGCCTTCAAATACCGGCGATACCCTCTGCTTTGCCGGGAAGTTAGTTTAGTTGCGTGACCTAACCGGTCATTGATCTCGCACGCTTCCGTAAGGTATATTTTTCGATTTCCCTGCCAAGCAGTGATACGGACCATTCTCAAATGGAATTTCACGAAGCCTTGAAATATTTCGAAGTTGGACTAAGGGGGAGGGTAGTTCAAGAGGTGGGCGTTACGCCCTTTTGTTTTTATGTGTTAAAGGATAGGGAACTGCGTCACTAAAGCGTTTCAAGAGGGGGGGAGGGTCAAAAATGCCGAAAAAGTGCTCCACGTAATTTAGGGACGGGCCCTTTTGGAAATTCGATCAGTGATTTAAAAAGCCAAGATCATTTTACTCCTCCATCGCAAAAATTAATTGGATTTAGACCAATTTGACACCCGAATACAATAATTTTCCTTTCGTTTCAGATGCAAAACAAACTCATCACTTTTGAATAAGAAAAATTTCGATTATTCAGTCAAAATAATTTCTGAAGAATTCCTTATAGATAGAGTAAAATTACATCGTAACAAAGATGGGAGGGAATATGTGAATTCTCTCAGTTTTATGAAAGAAGTTGGGATAAAGTTCCGCACGTATCAATACATGATGGGAAAATGCATAGATGGGTTCTCAAAGGATTACCATTAAACTCGGATGAGGAAGAAATCAGAAAAGAAAAAGAAAAAAATCAATGAAGTAGATATAATTAACATTAATTAAATTCAATACAAAATTTAAAGGACCCCTCCTCCTATTTTTAGAAATAACTTCAAACTCGGCGAGTCAGCACAGGAATCAGATGAAAACTACCTTAATTAAGTTCGAACCGGAAAACTCGAAGTATACGGAGATGCTCTTGCGCAAAAAATGTCTACCCTCACTCCCTCAGGACATACCCAAAGATTTTGTTTTACCAACCATTCTACACCCCCCAAAATTGTTTTCTGCAGATCTGTGAAATTTTTCAAAAAACAATACCGTGCAAAAAATTCACTAAAGTAAAACATCAATCGGCCCTGTAGCCAACTTTCATTTCATCGGGTGTAATTCACTGAAGTATTTCACCGAATTTTCCCGCTTTCAGATTGGGGGTTCCGAATTTTTCCTCTCAATTTCGTTATAACCACCCGTGCTTCAACTTCTTCAGTTCTTCATTTTCAACCTCTTTGTTTGCCTTTCTTACCGCCGACCTGAAAAAAATTAAATCAAGTGAATCCACATGAGATATAGTGTTGACAGCCGTGCTTACAACCAGGGCCTTGTCTCCATGGGACGTTTCGTGGGATTTGTCCCGGAAAAAAATCTCACTTGCGAAGTTGGGAAAAATGTTGAGTCAGTCAATATTAATCGCAGCACCAAGTATTTATGTAGAGTCCTTGTGGAGTCGTTGAGCGACTCAGAGAGGAGAAGAAATTTTGTTGTTTTGTTTAACGGGGAAAAATTCCAGAAGTTTCATTCCTGCGATTCGAACTGGGGACCAACCCCACGAAACGTCCTGTAGAGACAAGCCCTACTCTGTCGTGTCAAGGAAAAACGTCGTATGAGCCTTCAATCAGGCGTTGCCCAATTTCCCTTGGTAAACCACAAACTTTCGGGAAAATTTGCAAGAAAATGTCTCCCAATTTTTCAGTTGATTTTGTTCGCAATTTCACCTAAAAGTCCTGAAAATTTTAAGGAAAAATATTCCTAACTTTCCTCAAAAATAAACATTTTATCGAAGAAAATTTGGCAACTCTCGAATGTTCATACGGCGTTTTTCCTTAGCACGGTAGTATTATACAGCGTCCTGCATAAAAATTCCCTGAAAAATTCCTTTGCCATCGACATCACAGTATATAACATTACTTGTCCTAGCTATTGGTCTCATCGAAGAGCGATGAATGCATGAAAACGCTCGGCGCTCCACGTGTTTCAATGCGAGTCTAAGATGGAAAAAACCATAATATGCACTGCCGCGGTCTATCAGTGATATCATTCAGTGGCGCGGCGTGCTTTGCGATATATCGATTGTTATGCCATTTAAACCTATGAAAAAGGATCGATAAACAGGGTGTTCGCAGCGAACACCTTAATAATCGATTATTTACCGCAGCTTCAATTGGGGAATTATCGATAGATCGCAAAGCCCGCCACGCCACTGATATCATTACCCGGATTTTTCAATCGGCAATGTGCCCATAATGCCGGACGGCGGAGAGACTTTGCTTTTGACGGATCGTGTATCTGTTTGCTAGGTCTGCAAGTGTAAACCGATTCGGTAATAATTGCAGTTGACCCACAAATCATTATCAAAGAACGCAGAAAAGAAAAAGAAATATCGCGGGAACGATGGTGTAAACAAAAATTAAAGATAAATACGAGACGTTTCGTCCACTTTTTCGGCCCTATCAATCGTAAAAAATTATACAACATTTTGAGGAAACCCCTTCTTATGTGTACTGTATACCGCCCTAATCCTTGTATTTTAGCTTTGGATTTTCCCCCATATTTATTCATATTTTTACAATGCTATAAGCATTTTCCCCTTCTTTTTAAGGTTTATAAAGCCCGAGAACCTATACAAACGTCCCGTGCTCCTTTTAATTTTGCGTTCTCAGCATCGACACCGCGTTATTTTGTTTTTTCTTGTGTTCTTTGTTGTACCGGAGGGCTGCTTCAATGTATCTCAACGTGTTAAATATTATCTACGAAACGTTTTTCATTACCTTTGTACAAATAATTATTGATGTATTGCTATTTGTTTTCTTGCTTACCTCTAGAACACACGAGGCACTCGGCAGCCAAAGACAGATATCTTGCTCGAGCTAACAGTCAGATCAACGAAAATGGATATCATAAACCATCACCCGCCTTATCCGACTCCATCGTATCCGTACGTATTTATTATATTTGTTTTATTTTACTTATATTTGTTTTTTCGGAAGCAGGTGAAACACGTCCATAGGCTTTTTGCCTACGTTTGTCAACTCCGTGCCAGGAAACCATCCATAACCAAAGAATCCACCAAAACAGAAAACGAGGGAAAGAAATTATGTACGCCAAATATCGCACAACGTAAAGTTTTACCAATACACCACACCATATAATTTTGCAGGGTTGAATTTTCCTTAGATTATTACGGAGCTCCAGCGCATAAATAAAACATGAGTCTTTCAGTTCTTTCACGCACATGTTGTTGAATGCGGTTGTAAGGGTGGCATGCAATGTAGACGAACTGAAATACTTTAATGAGACTAATTCACTTAAGAAGATGCACATTACATATTAAAATCGTAAGAATATGAATGACTTTCGGGAGCGCGAAGAGCTGCACCACAACGGGTTGCGTACAGATGGACTTGTTAAACCGAAGTGAAGTTCATTCAGGGATTAAGTAGCTGTAAGATCACTTTGATTTAAAAGAAAAAGGAGGAAGGGAATTTTTAAAAATGGAACTTTCAATAAAAAAATGAGTGTGTCACATCAGCCTTATTGTCACCGAAGGCAAACGAAAGTATTTGAAGTAAGTGATAACCAGATTGAGCGGCTGATTGTGATATAATGTAAGTGAGAAGCTACACAAGTCGAAGGATCTAAAATGACCGAAAAGAGACAGATTCCATGATAAAAAAACAAAGATAGAAAAACACGGTCTGTTCTGTGAAAACGTGTAGTAGTGTTGTATAACTCGTGACATCATTCTTCGATGATTCATATCCAGAGATAAAAGTTTAGAGGCTCTGAAAGGCCTCCCTACGACAAATGAAAACCTTTACCTTCAGGGCTTTACCATTCAACTTTAAATTAACTTATCGTATATCTAAGTTACTTTTCGAGAAGGTTTATGTGGAGCGACTTTTTTTTAGGAAGAAACCCCTGGTTTTCTGGACGTCCAGCGAATTTTTACGGTTAAATTTCATCATTTTTTGTATTGTATTCGACGGTCATGAATGTTTTTGTTCTCGTCGTATTCGATTTGCCCGTCGGTCTCCTCGAGGACCGATGAATTCCATCAACTTTAAAATTTCGAATTTGCCTTCGGAAGTAAATTAAAGAGGTGTAACAGGTGGCAACGAGTTTCATCAACTCTTCGCTGCTCCTGAAAGAAATCGTGGAACATAGTCCAAGCCTTCGAAATAACCCAAGATGAACAACATAAACCGAAAGTAGTTCTTATATTTTGGGGGTTTCAATACCTCAGATTGAAAATCCTAACGTGAAAAATTAAGCGCGCAGTAAATTTTTGTAGAGGAATACGGGCTTAGCTGGGGATAATATAATCAAATTGCAAATCGGCAAACCATTTTCTTTTGCATTTTATGATTTTTATTATAGAAGCCAAGTTTTGTAATCGCTTCAAGGGTCGATTTCCAAAGTTATTTTGTTGGCTTTTACTTGAGACGCGTTAAACATTTTCTTCTTCAGATGATATGTTTTGGATCTTTTTAAACCTCCCTTTGCCACTATGTATGGAGTCTTCCAAAAGAAATGAGTCGTTCAGGAAACGTTTGTGAATACTGCCGTGCTAAGGAAGAACGCTGTATATAAATTCGAGAGTTGCCAAATTTCTCCGGATAAAACATGTATTTTTCAGGGAAGTTATGCATGTTCCTCCGCGAAGTTGTCGGGTATGTTTAGATCTAGTTGCGGACAAAATTATCTGAAAAATTTGGGAGAAAATATTCAAAACTTTTAGTAAAGCAAATCTGGCAACGTCTAAAGGTTCATACGGCGTTTCCTCTTAGCACGGCAGAATACGACCCGTACTGCCGTGCTAGGCAAGAACGCTGTATGAACATTCGAGAGTTGCCAAATTTACTTCAATAAAATGTTTATTTTTGAGGAGAGGTATGGATATTTTGCCTTGAAATTTTCAGGGGCTTTAGAAGAAATTGCGAACAAAATTATCTGAAGAAATAGAAGGAAAATATTCATAAGTTTACCAGGAAATTCGTGTTTTATCAAAGGAAATTTGGCAACGCCTGAAGGTTCATACGGCGTTCTTCCTTAGCACGGCAGCGTAGCGTTGTAGATTTAGAGGTTTCGCAACGGCGGGAGCGTGCGGTTATATTACTGATTAATGACACGAAGAGGTGTTTCTTCCCCTTCGCGCCCGTCGGGATGTATCGACGAAATAGTGGAGCAATTAAGTCCTAATCAAGGGGAACACGTTCCTTACTCTGCCTTTTCCCTCCGCCGCCCTTGATACCAACCCTTTGCGCCACCGTCTTTACCTCACACCTTTCGAGTTTCGGATGTGTTCGTCGAATTGAGCTGTCACTTCGCTGCGGAGAGATTGCTTTTATGTTACTCCTGCTCAAATACAGAATCTAATGTATGGACAGTGAGCTCATGGATCTTCAGAACGTTGCGATAGTCAATTGGACGTATTTATGCTGAAAGGAACTATGTACATAGGATTTGCGTGCAATTGGACGTATTTATGCTAAAAGGAACTATGTACATAGGATTTGCGTGCAATGGACCACTAGACAAGGTACGAATTTCAACATTCTGATACATGTTTCTTAACCAAAATTTCACGTAAAACACGATGCGCACAACGAAAATTACCGAATTCAACTCCTTACGAAGGTATTCAATAATTCTTCATGCGTGAATTCAAACCACCTGCTCTTGAAAACTCAATGCTCTACGTGATTCACATCGCGCACTAAACGTTGTCATGACAGTCTCTGCGATATAAAAATCTGGCAACCTTAATCTTGACACTTTGGCTCAGCTATTACAAATAGCTTATAGTTTGAACAACACATGATGGGAAATGAACATTGCTCGATTGAGAAGCTTGCTGAAACCGTTGTAGTGCGCGATTTGACTCTTGTAGAACTTTGAGTTTCTTGTGAGCGGGCAGTTCTAATTCCTCGTAACCAATGTGAAATAAAAACTTTAATATCTTTGTTAGAAGTTGGTTTCAGTGATTTTCGTTGCGCAAATCGTATTCTACGTGAAATTCTGGTTAAGAAACATGTATCAGATTGCTTAAATTCGTACCTTGTCTAGTGGTCCATTGGACGTATTTATGCTAAAAGGAACTATGTACATAGGATTTGCGTGCAATAATTCATGAACTGATAATTTCTGGATTTTAGGACCATTTTAAGAATTTCCGAGCATCACATTATAGCACGTCAGGAATTTTATACAAAATTTGACTGTCAGAGACACCGAAATAACACCGAAAGTGAATAGGTACTCTGGATGTCTACCGTCAGCATTGAAACCCGGAAAATATCAGGAAATTCGATGTTGCCAGGAAAATTGGTCATAAGTTAGGAAATCCAAGTGTGTTATGCATTTTCCATCTACTTGCAGTTTTTGCTCTTGCAAAAGTGAGACATTTGATTCGATTCATCAAATACGTCGGTTTATGAAATCCTACAAGTGTTCATTTATTCGCGCAAAAAATCAGGGAATTTAATTTAAAATGTCGTGAAAATCAACAATGAATATTTAGTATAGACACACTGATCGTAAATCGGTGTGCCTTTCGATCAGCGATTAGTTTTTTCGTACATAATTCAAGTCAAGTCGTTCTTTGTTCCGTTTCCCTTCTCAACATTATGTTTCATCGCAACTCCATTCATATTTTTATCTTTTGATCAGAGCTTATTCGTCAAAAGTTGATTGTACGCGTGAGTAAAGATAAAATCGGAAAATTACAGCACACTCAAGTTCAAAGGATGTTCAGGTTCAAAGAACCTCAATATCTGAACAAATACAGGGTGATGCGAAAGTCTGGCGCTACCTCCTTAATTCCTAAGGTTATTTGCCTTTTCAGGGTCATCCCGTAAACATTTCCAGGGCTCCCAAAAGTCGTTTTATTTAACCCAGATACACTCATAAAAAAATGTCAATGGAGATGTTGCATGTGTGAGGAATTTGCGATTTGACTGTTGATTCTTCTGTAAAAGTTCGTGAGAAACACGACGGTGCCACTGGTTTTCTCTGAAATCAACTCCCAAGCTCACAAAAAGCTCTCAAGTTGAGCCCAAAATGAAGGGGATATCCCACCCTACCCTGAGAGTCCACCTCTACATCAAGACGAACTCTCCATGCAAAGATAAGGAGCAAATACAGTAGCAGGGTTGCCACTTTATTTGGGGACTCCAGAACTGAAAACACGGCAACCCTGCTAATGTATTTGCTCCCTATCTTTGCATGGAGAGTTTGTCTTGATGTAGAGGTGGACTCTCAGGGTAGGGTGGGATATCCCCTCCATTTTGGCCTCACTTTGAGAGCTTTTTTTTGAGCTTGGAAGATGATTTCAGAGAAAACCAGTGGCACCATCGTGTTTCTTGCAAACTTTTTCATAAGGATCAATGGTCAAATCGCAAATCCCTCACACATGCAACATCTCCATTCTGTATCTCAATTAGCTCAAAAATTGCGGGGGTGGTGTCCGGTGCAAGTAGCGCGGTACTTTTTGATCACCCTGTATAAGTAATGAGTATTCATAGGACAACCAGGGATCAAGGGCACGAAGAGGATGGGGAGCTATAAGCTCATTAAGGATGTAGGGAGACGCGGGAAGGAAAAACTGGGTTAAAATGCATCCCGCGGGGTTGGGCGAATGACGACAGCAAAGCCCCCGATGGTGAATGAACGCGGGGGTGGGATGGGAACGAGGATGGCATTTGTCGGCGGGACGGGGGAAGGAGCGGTGCTGTACCTCAGGGGGTGGGCGAGGGGGATGAGAGATTGAACTCTTGTTCCCATTTGCTTGAGCATCACGTCGGTCCTGCGTTCTACGCTTCCTAATAGTTTCGTTCAGAATTTTCGCCGTTAAAATTTGTGACGTTATTCGACGGTGAACTTGTCGCTTGGTTGACGTAAGGGCGTAACTACACATTGAGATGATCCCGAAAAAGCAATGAGATGTATGGACGGCAGGTTTCATTGCAGAGTGTAGTTATGCCCTTGTGTTAGGAGAGGAACGAACTTATGCAGAACTATCGGCCTCTTTTTTTTTTACATTTTTTTTTTTTTAATTTTACGAAGTCAGGGAAGTGTCAGGGAAAAAGGCGGAAATGACAAAAATGTCAGGGAAAATGACGAAATTGTCAGGAAAAATTGCTTAGATCACCTTCATCTGCTTTCTAGCGTAGGTTTGAGGTTTTAAACAACAAATTTTGCCTGAAAACTATTGTCAATTATGCCTTCTTAACCATCCTTCACATCTTTAATTGGACCGCGTTAACCAGAAAGGAACCAAGCCACATCAGCCATTGCCAAATTCAATTTGACATGGTAATTTTTCATGAAAATGAAAAATTTCATGAAAAATTTGAAAATAAAATTTGAAAAACATGAAAAATTTCATTTTTCATGAAAATTTCAATGAAAATGGTTGGGCGGCTTTTCGTGCAAATTTCAGTGAATTCTCTTCGAAGTACGAAGAAAATTCCCTAAAATTTTTGAAGGAACCCGCACAAACGTTCTCACGTCAAAAATCGATAGCCTAGTTGAATGTGGCAATAGCTGATGTGGCTTGGTTCCTTTTTGTTAAACGCGGTCCAATTATCAGGGAATGGAGATGTTGCATGTGTGAGGGATTTGCGATTTGACCATTGATTCCTATGTAAAAGTTCGCGAGAAACACGATGGTGCCACTGGTTTTCTCTGAAATCAACTCCCAAGCTCAAAAAAAGCTCTCAAAGTGAGGCCAAAATGGAGGGGATATCCCAAAATAAAGACGCAGCCCTGTCAATGTATTTGCTCCCTATCTTTGCATGGAAAGTTCGTCTTGATGTATAGGTAGACTCTCAGGGTAGGGTGGGATATCCCCTCCATTTTGGCCTCACTTTGAGAGCTTTTTTTGAGCTTGGGAATTGATTTCAGAGAGAACCAGTGGCACCATCGTGTTTCTCGCGGACTTTTACCTAAGATACAACAGTCAAATCGCAAATCCCTCACACATGCAACATCTCCATTCCACCAAAATGTGTCAGGGAAATCAGGGAAATGTCAAGGAATTACATTTTCTAAATTCTGTGGCAACCCTGTGAAGCGTAGTTACGTTGTTTCGTGTAGAGTCCCTTTATGCTGAGAGTCAAGACAATTCGGCTCATGGATGTCACAAACGGGAATAAAGATTACAGAAATTGAACGTTTTTCGTAATCTTTGATCGGCCCATTCTCAAATGCCTTTCTCCGTTCCTCCTCTCATTCCGTTTGTTCCTTGCCGAACCCGTAATTCCCTGGTCCATTCCAGATTATAATCTTTGCAATTGGTGAAAATGTAATCTTTATTCCCGTTTGTGACACTGTGGAGGCCTAAATTACGGGAACCAATCAGAAATGGATTCAAATTGTCTTGACTCTCAGTATAGAGGGACTCTAGTTTCGTGAGGGAAACAACGAAAACTGCGTCTGTACATGGCTACTCTCTTTGGTAGTACCGAAGCATATCTTTTCTTTCTGTGCATCGAGTGCGGTCGGAGCTCGGGCGTTGCGCAAAGCTGTCGAGCCGGCCGGAGACCCGCGCGCCGCCTTTGAGCCTTTCGAAGCTGCAAGCGACCAGATTCTCGGGCACCGCACCAGAATGTGACTGAAAGTGCAAGACCCGCAACTCGGGATGTCGCAACAGGACTGGCACTTGCCACTGAACTCCGTCCGCCCTTCTCCGATCCGATGCGTCCGTCCGTCCCGTCCGTGCGCAATAAAAATGCCGTATAGCCGTTCGAATGTTGCCAAATTGCCTCTAAAAAAATTTACTCTCAAAGATCGTTATGAATGTTTTTACTCGAAATTTTCAGACTCAAAAGATCAAGTTATGGACGCACTGAAAAAAAAATCTCGGTGTATTTACTAAGAAAAGGGTAAAATTACCAAGAATTCAGGGTTCTATTTGATCCCAGTTTTTTCTTGGTAAAATTACCATTTATGTAATTGGTAATTTTACCGAGAAACCTCGGTAAAATTATTGAACTTTCTCGGTAATTTTACTGGACCTTGGTAAAAACGCCAATATTTTTTATCGACTGTGGTAGAATTACCGAGATAAAATGGCAAAGTTACCGGGAATTTATTACCAATAAAAGTGGTATTCTTACCTGAAAAAAACAGTAAAAATACCGGTTTTTAGGTAAGCTGACCAGTCTGTCTTGGTAAAATTACCAATAATTGGTAAGAAAAAGTGAGATGGTAAAGGTACCAACGGACCTCCGTAAAAACGCCGAGAATTTTTTTCAGTGCGGAATCCTCTGAAAAATCGAAAGAGAAATATTCACAAATTTTCCTGAGAATTCGGGATTTGACGAAGGGAATTTGGCAACGTCCGATGGCGCTTACTGCGTTCTACCTTAAACACGATGGTGTTCTGATCGCGTCTGTTGCTCCTTTCTCGATGACATTCGCCGCGGCCTCGCCCCGCGCAGCCTAATTAGAGGCTCCGCTCGCCACACAGAATATATAAACGCAAAGGCATGTTCCCTGATAAATGCTCCTAACGATGACCCGTGTGTCGAGCCATTGGCGGATCCAGCGAATTGGCAACATCGTGTTTCTCCATTTAAACCTATGGAAATGTATCGATTCTTGGAGGAGCCAGGTGTTCCGACAAGAATCGATTATTTAACAAACGTTTAAATGGAGAGTATCCGGTGTTGTCAAATTGCTGGATCCGCCTCTGTGTCGAGCACAGGGTGTATCCCTTGTATCTTGGTTTCTCAGCGATGCGCATGATGTATACACTCGAAAAAAAAACACATTGGATCTGGAGTCCAGACTCTTAAAAATATCGACAAGAAAAAGTACTCTTGATTCAATCGGATTTTTGCTTCGATCAAGAACCAAGCCTCTTAATTTGAGCGGATTTCCTTTTGATTTAAGCAAAAATCTGATTGAATCAAGAGTATATTTTCTTGTCAATGTTTTCTAGAGCCTGGACTCTAGATACAATGTGTTTTTTTTTTCCAGTTTACCCAGAGCCGGATATACCCACAGCTCATGGCGACAGATTTCGTCGCTCCTATGACGTAAGGGCGTATCTCAATTTTCACATGAGCCCTGTTTTACATATAAATGCATGCTCTCCGGGGCTCACGCTGAAATCGAGATACGCTCTTACGTCAGAGGAGCGACGATTTTTGGGGCAGCAGTTTCGGAAGAGTCCTCGGCAGGGTTAAACAATTATGCCTTTTTTTTCTTTCTTTGCTCTTCAAAGTACTCAAGTACTTCAAGAAGTCCTTTTCGAGATCCAGGGGCGGCAAATTGTTTTCTGGCCTAGGGCGGTAGTGCAAATTCGGCCCGGTGCACATCGAAGAACAAATCATCTGATCTGTTACCGGAGAGAGGGCCACATATTTTGAAATCGAGTTTCCCTAGAATTCCATCGAATGTGATTGAAAGAAATGAACCCACCGATTCACATAAAACAGCTAAATCCATTTATTCGTGGAGAAGCAAGAGGTATGAGATCAGCGACGGCGTGAAAATCGGCGTGATTTCGGACAGAACAGCAGTACTTATATTAAGTCTTCCTAATTTCGTGAGAGAGTGTCTGTATCTTGTTCTGTCCATCGCAATTAGTTCACAATCGTTCTGTTAATTTTTTCTTAGGCAAAATTTAAGTGAAATTAGTTCATGATAGACTCGAAAATATGTTCAGTGGAAAAAAAACATATCGGATCTAGAGTCCAGACTCTTGAAAACGTTGACAAGAAAAAATACTCTTGATCCAATCGGATTTTTGCTTGAATCAAAAGGAAATCCGCTTAAATTAACAGGCTTGGTTCTTGATTTAAGCTAGATTCTGATTGAATCAAGAGTACTTTTCCTTGTCGATGTTTTTAAGAGTCTGGACTCTAGATCCAATGTGTTTTTTTTCTAGTGTTTTTTGTGTGTCCGAAAAGTAACCACGCAAACATGCAGAACACAGCACGCCTTGCTATCTTGCGAAGGAGAAATGAATTTTTTTATGTGTTCGAATGTATAACGTCGATTTTGAAGTTTTCAACTGTTTCAAAGATTTTAAAGGATGAGTATCGACAATTTTACGAAGAACGGGGATTCTTTCAATACAATTTTACAATGATTTCGGTCGGTCTTGTGTTTCAGCGTTCCTGTACCTCGTCCGGATCCGACGGTTCCTCGATACCTCGACTGAGGAGGGAGAAAGACAAAAGCTCCCAACGGAAGTCCTTCCTGAATCGCTCACAAAATGAAGAGGAGATCCTGTACGGTAATGGTAAGAAATATATTTTATGTTTCATGGTCTTACTCGGTTGCCCGTCGTTTGTGTTCTTCCTGCAGGACTCATATGGTTTCTATGGAGGTTCGAAATGTTCGGTTTAAGAGACACACATTTTCTGAAAATCTCGAAAATTTTAAAGCACTTTCCTCACACCTAAATCCATAGTATCTCAAAATTTCAAAGGAAAATATTCATCCTTTCTCTGAAAGGTCTTATCAAGGGGAATTTTGACCGCGTTAAGCAGAAAGGAACCAAGCCACATCAACTACTGCCAAAACTGGGCAAGTTATTTTTTTACACAAAAGCAGTTGTGCGGATTTATGTGAAAATTTCGGTGAATTTTCTGCATGTTACGAAGCATATCCCTTAAAATTTTCGAAGGAATTTGCACGAACGTTCTCTTTTAAAAAATTAAATTGCCCAGTTAAATTTTGCAATAGCTGATGTGCCTTGGATCCTCTCTGCTAAAGGCGATCCATTTGACTACCTTCAAATGCTTATACGACCCTTTTCTCGAGCCGTTCAGAGTAATGAAATCCCTAGCGAAAAAATTTTAAAAATTTTTTTGTCGAATTGACTCCGATGAAATTTTGAGTTTCGACGAAAGCTAAGAATATTTTTCTTCGAAATTTTTAAGCACCTCAGATTTAAATGCGAATAAAATCCTCCGAAAAATTAGACGACAAATATTCACAAGTTTTCCAGAATTTCTTCGAAAGAAGTCTGGCAACATCTGAAAGCCCTTCTAGCGTTCCTCCTTTTCAAGACGCGACAGTGTAGAGATCCATCCAAGGAACGTTACATCCACACACTTTCAGAAGGAGGATGAGCGTGGGGACGTGAACTTTAGACCCGGCGGAATGCAAATTTCGGATCCCTTCGATTTTTTCGCCGACGGATGTGCACTGCTCATTGCACAAGGCGCATGGCAGGGGGTTGAATAAAGTCACGGGTTATAAGTCGGGACACGGAAGAGATTGCACGGAAAGGTCTGCAAGAGAGAAAGTGAGCTTGCGAACATAAGCACACGCCGGTGGGCATTGTGGACGAGAGATGATCAATATCTGGAATCGCCCGAGGTGGATGGCTGGTCGGTGGATCATTAAAGCGACCCAACGCCCTGTTAAGTGTTGATCTACCCACTTCATTTGGTTTTATAAGAGCTGCAACGAGGCGCGTAGTCCGCGCTGCTTACTTTTTGGCATCGTCGTCGCGTTGCCACCCCTTAACCTGGATCCAACTCCACGTGGAGACCGGTTCACAGGTTCCTCGGGTTGTCCACCGCTGCCGGCTGATTATTGGAATCGATAGAGGAACCAATAGACATAGGAAACATGGAGTTTTCCTATCCTGCCGCGCTAAGGGAAAACGCCGTATGAACATTAGAGAGTTGCCGAATTTCCTCCGATACAATGATTATTTTTGAGGAAAATTATGAATATTTTTCCTTGAAATTTTCAGGAACTTTATAGGTAAAGTTGCGAAAAGAATCATCTGAAAACTTGAAAGGAAAATATTCATAAATTCTTTAGGAAATTTGGCAAGGCCTGAAGGTTCATACGGTGTTCTTCCTTAGCACGGCAGTATTGGTTGAAACCAGTGGTCGTCATATACACAGAGAGAAATAGATGGGTCACCTGGACCGCGTTGAGCAGAAAGGAGCCAAGCCAAGTCAGCCATTGTCGAATCTAAGTGGGCAGTTAAATTTTCTACAAGATAATGTTTGTACGGAATCCTTTGAAAATTTTAAGGAACGTGCTTCGCACTATGTAGAAAATTCGGTAAAATTTTCAGAAAAATTCGCACAACCGTTTTCATGTAAAAAATAAAAGTTCCGAATTGACTTTTGCAATTGCTCATATGGCTTCGTTCCTTTCTGTTTAACGTGGCCCAACTATAGAATCTCTCATGGGTTGTCGTCAGTTAGTCTGTTACTAACCTCTTTTTTTCCACTTCAACCACCCGCTTCTACCCTTAGAATCGCTTCATTTTCTCTTCGAAAACTTTGTCTATAGCTTTGTCTGTTAATTTAAAAGATCAACCATGCCGTGCCGCCGGGTCAGCATCGACCTTTGCTATAGCTACGTTGCCGTGCGGGTGTGCCCAACAAACTGAAAATTTTTTCGAAGAATTCCTTTGATCTCCCCCCCCCCCCCAAATGCCTCCGATTTAGAAAAAACTTAAGGATCAATTTTGTTGTTGGGGTAAAGCAATTTTTTTCTTCATAGGAAACCTTACGTGTACAATATAATGTACGGTGGGTCCATTTAATATCCTAAGATTTTCAGGAATCTGGTAAGGGTCAATTCGATCTCTGGCGGCAACTGATTGATATCGAACAATGATGCCATAATATAATCTAAGTTTGCAAGAGCGATTCCTCTGCTTGAGTAAGTTTGAGCTCAGAATCATCAGACTTGGCGCTGTGCATTCGGTGCACGACCGTCTTGCAACGATGCACAGCCGGCATTCTCCGACCCTCCGATCCAGATGTGTAATTAGATGTAACTATATCCGTATTTGACGCTTTGCTCAGGTCTACGATCCTCATCCTCAAATATTATGTAACGCCTCGATGATGACACGTTCGATACAGTTGGTGATCAGATGTAGATCATCGCGTGCAAGGTGGACTGCGTCTCTGCAGCATTGATATGAAACTTGTGGCGTCTTTTTACAGGAGAAATGGAGGATTTGCAGGTGTCCAAGATTTTGTAGATTTCATGTTTAAAACGAAACTGTTAAGAGAACTGGGCGTGAAGATGTCCTTGGTTTATAAAGTGAACGACTGTTGGAGGAAATGTGAGAAATATATCTATTTTTCTACCATTTCCCATTTCAGAAAAAAATTATGAGAAATATTGCGCACTCATCAGCTCATTGAGCACTTTCAGATGAAACAAAAAAAAATGTGTTTAAATTCTCCAACACCAACTTTTGGTAAAGGAGGGGTATATCGATGTGGGCCGTTTTAGAGCCCACCCTGAATTCTCACAACTCTACGATTACGAACTCTGAATTTTACGGAGTGCGTCATGATTTGGTCATTTTTGGTCTCTTTTTGGGGTCTAATATTGACCTTTAGTCTTATGTTTAGGCCAGTGTTGAAACTGAAAAAGCTACCAGAAGTGACTTAATCATGGTGCATTCCGTAAAGTATAGATTTTTAACCAGTAAAAAATCGTAGAGTTGGGGAAATTTAGCTTGGGTGGACTCGAAACCGCGCGGTCTGTATAAATTCCTTTCTTTTTTGCTAGCGCCTTTTCCGATTGAATCGGCCATAATCTTGGGTTAACTTATCTAATCTTAAGGTTGAAATTTTCTGTAGGAGAGAATATACTTCAGGAAAGTTGTAAACTCAATAATTCTCACCTCTTTTTTCTTATTAATGTCGCTTCGTTCCTTTTTTCTCTAAAGGTCGCTCAATTTTCGCCGTCAGTAATATAGAGACCTAGATACCACTACCGATAGTGTCAAAGTTATTTTCGGAAGTCAACACTCGGATTTGTCTAATCATGACAAACATGTTGAGCAATCCGTCCCAAAAACGATATCCAGTGTAGTAACTGACCGATTCGACATTTATCAGTCATCGTGGAATTGTACGCTATGCCGCGCGTCACCGCCATCTGAACTCCTAAGTTTGAACGCAACTATTCGTGCTCGATAACTATCAGGGCTGCATATACAAAAAAATGAAGGCGCGCTGCGCTGGTTTTCCTGATTTTGTAACAGGATATATTACATTGCCACTGTGTGGGAAAAAGGATGATAGTGTGTTTTAGACTGTTCCAATATGATCCTGAAGAATTATCGTGGACAGACTTCTTGCCGCATACGCACACTGGAAAAAAAAAAAAAAAACACATTGGATCTAGAGTCCAGACTCTTGAAAAAATTGACAAGAAAAAGGACTCTTGATTCAATCAGATTTTAGTTTAAATCAAAAGGAAATCCGCTCAAATTAAGAGGCTTGGTTCTTGATTTAAGCTTAAATCTGATCGAATCAAGAGTCCTTTTTCTTGTCAATGTTTTCAAGAGTCTGGACTCTAGATCCAATGTGTTTTTTTTTTTCCAGTGCACTGCCCGCCAACATTTGACACCACTGTTGAAAAATATTTCCTCGATGTTCTAGCTGTCGTTCTGATTGATAAGATTGCGCGATATGTCGCAAATGTCACAGAACTCTAAAGTAGAAGTACCAATAACTCCTATTTTTAGTGTTTGAACGAGGCTTTTGTAAAATTGTCGATATAGACGATTACAGGCCGGCTACTTTGCATTGAATCGATGGATTTAAATGGAGGAAAAACAGAGATACTAACTTTCGCTAATCGCGTCTGCCAATGAAATGGCTGTAGCTGTAGCCGAGCAGTTGTTGCACCGCTCTCCGTTCGTTGGTGGACATGAATTATGAATGAGATGGCGACCAGTGAGTGCGTGTGTGAGTGTGTGAGATCTTCACTCCGTTTCAAGGTCAACGCGACGAATTTTCGCGCTTTTCACGTGGGCAAGCGGGGCATTGTGCCTTGCTGGATAGTTCACCGTACACCGAAAAACAATAAGGAATCTCCACTGAAAAAAAATTCTCGGCGTTTTTACGAAGGTCCGTTGGTACCTTTACCATCTCACCTTTTTTTTTACCAATTATTGGTAATTTTACCAAGACAGACTGGTAAGTTGACCTAAATCCGGTATTTTTACTGTTTTTTCCACGTAAGAATACCACTTTTATTGGTAATCAATTCCCGGTAACTTTGCCATTTTATCTCGGTAATTCTACCACAGCCAATAAAAAAATATTGGCGTTTTTACCAAGGTCCAGTTAAATTACCGAGAAAGTTCAATAATTTTACCGAGATTTCTCAGTAAAATTACCGATTCCATAAATGGTAATTTTACCAAGAAAAAATTGGGATCAAATAGAACCCTGAATCCTTGGTAATTTTACCCTTTTCTTAGTAAAAACACCGATATTTTTTTTTCAGTTCGTT